TAACACTGCTGAAGAACTAAATCCCTCTGCAACAGGACTACTATTCAAAAAAGACCATGATGTCCCTCTGGCTAAGAAAAACAAAAGTTGAACCATGGAAGCAAAATTGAAAATCATGATTAGATCAGATGTTACAATATTTATTGCCTATTTTTCCTATCCTTTGCCTAAATATATATTAACTCAGGAAATTTTCAGTTATTCAATAGGTTATTCTAATATTTTTATAATAAACATAATTTTTCTATGTCTCAGTTTCCCCATCAGGATAATGGAAATCATAATATATTTTCAAAACATCTATGGATGCATAAAAGTGAAAATGAAGTCCAATGTCATGATGTATAATCTATTTCATGTAGTCTTTATTCAATGTCCCTATTTCCTCACTACCCATTCTTTCCACATCCCCTTGTATTCTGATTTCAATACCTACCTTTTTACTGAGATCTCTCTCTTTCTATCTCCCTTTCCCTCTCCCCCTGTCCCTCCTCCTCTCCCTTTCTCTCTCTCTGTCTCTCTCACTTTGGGGAAGGTTCACTTACTCTTGGCTACAGTTTCTTCATCAATAAAAACTGAGACTTGAACTAGATGAGTTCTAAGGTACCCTCCAATTCCAAATTATATGATACTTTGGTGACTTCCTAAATCACCAAATTCAAGGAACCTTGGTCTTCCTCTACTTAGCCTCTGTAACATTTATCATCATTGACCACCCTGTTCTTTTGGACCTTCTTTCTTCCCTAGGTTTCCAAAATGGCATGCCCTCCTGTCCCTATCTTTTTAACTACTCCAACATGGCCCCTTCACTGGCTCATCATCTTCCTTCCTTCTTGATTCCCAAGTCCATCTCTCCAGCACTGACCTATCACCTAATCTTTAGAGATATATCTGTCTATATCTCCCCTGGATGTTCCACCACTGCATTTCTCTAATCAATAGTGATTTAGAGTATTTTTTCAGATGACTATAGATAGCACATATTCTTTAAGGTGTCTGAAACTGACTACATCCCCAAAATCTATTCCTTCTTCAGCCTTCATGATTTCTGAATGGTACCACCACTCACCAAATCCCTATGTTTGAAAATATGGCATTAGTTTGTACTCTTCTCCTACTTACTCTTCTCATATCCAATTAAGAATTGTATTCTATAGAGTCCACCATTGCAATATCTCTCATAACTACTTCTTCATCTCTCTTCTCACTGCCATCACTCTAGCACAAGCCCTCAGTATCATCATTATAGTCTAGGTGCCTTTAGTATTCCCTATCCCCACTCCCATCCAACCATCTCTTCATACTGATTGCTAGATGGATCTTCTTTAGCATAGTTCTGGTCTTACAGTTCCTTTGTTCAAAAGCTTTCAATGGCATCCTAATGCCTACCAATTAAATTTCAAACACTTGAGACTGACATGCAGTGTCTTCTACATAATGTTGGTTGGATTCATGTGGATATCCTTCAAGGAGGGTCTTTCAAATCCATTCTTAGATCTTTGCTGTTTTAGAGGTTCCACGGGAGACAAACTACCTATTATCATTATTATTAGAGCGTGCTTTTCTTGCCACATTAGTACTAACTGCTGAATAATTGTCACCATTGTACAGGTAAGCCCAAGAGACCCCAAAGTGGAAGCACTCACTTAGACCATCAGTCTTGCTTCCAACCTAGCCCTCTCCCCCCCATAGGCATCATCCTAAGGAGAAACTCCCGAAGAGATGCAACCTGGCAACTGCTTCTGCCTCCTTTGCAGCCCAAGTGACTAAGGATGGAGAAAATAAAATTCTTGCCACCAAAATCCTTGGCAATGTCAAATAGTTTAACATCAGAAACATATATTAGCAGTACAACTGACCTTAAAGAATATGTGCTATCTATAGTCATATGAAAAAATGCTCTAAATCGTTATTGACTAGAGAAATGCAAGTCAAAACGACTCTGAGGTGCCACATCACACCTATCAGACTGGCCAACATGACAAAACAGGAAAATGACAAATGTTGGAGAAGATGTGGGAAAATTGGAACACTAATGCATTGTTGATGGAGTTGTGAACTGATTCAACCATTTTGGAGAACAATTTGGAACTATGCCCAAAGGGCTATAAAAATGTGCATACCCTTTGACCCAGCAATAGCACTTCTAAGGCTGTATTCCAAAGAGATCATAAAAATGGGAAAAGGATCCACATGCACAAAAATATTTATAGCAGCTTTTTATGTGGTGGCAAAGAATTGGAAATTGAGAGATTGCCCATCAATTGGGGAATGGCCGAACAAGTTGTGGTATATGAAATGTAATGGAATACTATTGTGCTATAAGAAATGATGAGCAGACAGACTTCAGAAAAACCTGGAAAGACTAAAATGAACTGATGCTGTGTGAAGTGAGTAGAACCAGGAGAACATTGCACACAGTAACAGCCACATTGTATGATGACTAATTTTGACAGACTTAGCTCTTCTTAGCAATGAAAAGATCTAAGATATCTCCAAAAGTCTCATGATGGAAAATGCTGTCCATATCCAGAGAAAGAACTGTGGAGTCTGAATGCGGATCGAAGCATACGGTTTCTACCATTGGTTCTAATACTTCTTTAAAACATGACTAAATGTAAAAATATGTTTAACAGGAATGTATATGTATAACCTATATCTCCAAGATTGCGCACCATCTTGGAGAAGGAGGTGGGGAGGAAGGGGGAGAAAATTTGAAACTCAAAAGCTTATGGAAGTGACTGTTGAAAATTAAAAATTAATTAATTAATTTTTAAAAATAATATGTGTTACAAACTGTTTTGCTACTGTACCCTGGGAACCATAGGACTTTTCCATCTGAGTTAAAGCTGAAAACTCCTATATGTGTTGTCTCCACCATTAGAATGTGAGCTCTTTGAGAAAGGGAAAGGTATATGCATTTATTAGACACCTTTGTGCCAGGTAGCACTTTACAATTATTATCTCATTTGATCCTCACAACAACCTGGGAGGTAGGTGCTGTTATTAACCTCATTTTACAGTTAAGGAAATTGAAGCATGCATAGATTATGTGATATGTCCAGAGTCACACAGCGAGTAAGTGACTAAAGATGGATTTGAACTTAGATATTCTTGACTCCAGGCTCCGTGCTCTATCCATTGTGTTCTATTCTTATCCCCAGTGCTTAGCAGAGCACTTTGTATGTAGGAAGTGCTTAATAAATGCTGTTTCACTCATTCATTATTAATTACTGACTGGAATTGGTTGCAGAAGGATGAGAGCTATACTGTAAATTACAAATTGTGAACTAATAGAAAGTTTGGTAACTATTTCTCCAAATCTACTCCAAGGCCACCCTATATTTCTAGTGTTACAAAACATTCTTCTGTATACCTTAATCTCAAGACAAACTGGTTGACCCTGTTGTCCTCTGTATGTTTCCCTTGAAGTTTTTGTACCTTAGCTCAGGCTGTTCCTTATGCCTGAAATTCCTTCCCCCTCCTAGGCATGGCCCCCACTCCACAGAACTCCTAACCACCTTTAAAAAGCATTTGATTCCAAAGCTGCTTCCTTCAGGAAACTCCCCATGATCCCACCAATTTAGTCATGACCTTTTCCCTATCAGAACTCACATAGAGCTTTGCATCCCCTCTGGTTTATTTATCTTCTGTTATGTTGCATTGCAGTTACTTGTGCAGGCATCAGATCCCCCTTACTAGATCATAAGCTCCATTAGACACGTCTTATCTAAAACTTGTATCATCTCTACTCCACAGTGCTCAACAAACAGTAGAGACTTAATAAATGTTTGCTGTCTTGAATGTAAATGAGCTGAACTAAGTTTCAACCACTGACTAACTGTTCCCTTTCCTACTTCTCAGTCACCTATTAGTGCCCCCAGGCTTGACCTCCAAAACTTACAGATTGGCACCTGAAAGGAGACTTGGAGCTAAAGAAAACTAGATACTATGTCAATGGAACCCTAGACATAGAGTCAGGGAGTCACAAAGACCTGAGTACAAATCTAGCTTCAGACATTTCCTAGCTATGTGACCCTAGGCAAGTCATTTAATCTCTGCCTCAGTTTCATCTGTAAATTGGGCATAATAATAGCACTTACTACCCAAGGTTGTTGTGAAAATGAAATAAGAAAAGATTTTTTGCAAAGATTTGCAAATCTCTGAGTCCTACATAAATGTTAACTATTATTATCAACATTATTATTATCATTATCATTGTCACCACCATCATCATCATCATTATTATTATTAATTACAAGTTCTCTGCTCTAACCCCTCATTTTACAGATAAGAAAAATGTGGCCCAGACATATCCAAGAAATCACAAATCTGGCATTCTTTCCCCACCATCACATTATTTCTGTTACTTGCTGTATAACATTAGGCTCTCCTCTATCTTACTTTCGTTCCTTCTCCCCTTAAATAGTCCAGGGGAAAAGGGGACGGAAGTCTTTGAGATAGACCTAGTAGACATCCTGGGTTTTCTATTGAGGTTCTTGGTATATTTGTCATTTTCCTTTCTTAAAATTTTTTTTTCCAATTACACACAATTTTTTAACATTCATTTAAAAAAAATGTTGAGTCCCACGTCATTTCCCTTTTGGATTGGAAGATTGACAAGGGCAGGAACTATGTCCTATTTAACCCATCACTGCCCCTTCCATAGGGCCCTGTACTTAGCAGATGCTTAATAAATGTTGGACTAAATCAAATGGAACTGGAGAGGCCGCTGACCCTTGTGCTAGAACAACACGGCTACGCATTTAATAAGATGTCATTCATGTTTCATCCTTTTTCTGCTGTGTATTTACTTACTCAATAGGAATAGTTAAGTATTTAATTTAGTGTATTCACATTTGTTAAATCATTTTAAAATAGGAGGTATATGATTTACTTTTCATTTAAATGTTGTTTAATTGCCTTGACTACCTTGCTTTGCAATCTGCTAAATCCATATTTAATTTCAGTGTGTTGAGTGGGGATGTGGTGACATTTACCTGTATTCATTTCACTTGGGCTCTTTCAACTCCTTCTCTCCTGGAGGAAACTTGGAATATTCGTCTGGTCTGATCTGTACCTGCCAGAAATAAAATTCGTTCGCATTAGCTGTTTCAGTAGCGTCACCAAGACAACACATCTTCTGGTTAAAGGTCTGGCAAATACAACAGGCATTTATGGAAGGCCTATTCTGCGCCCAGCCCTGTGTTCTTTTTACCTCATTATCTTGACAATTCAATTTTTTAAAAGTAAAAACATTATCTTCTAATACTCTTGAGACAGCTCCTCCCCACTGAGTTTAGTCCTAGTTTTCCAAAGTGCAAAGGTGCTAGGAAATTATCTGTCTTTTAACAATTAATTGTTCTACAATTGGTGGAACAGGATTTTAGATGCAGATGAGTCCTTACCCTAAGGGAATGTGCATTCCAGTAAGGAAATGACACAGACAACTCTAACAGACAATATTATATGACATCACATTAGAGAGGTGCAAAACAAAGTATTTTGTGATGGATGGTGGACAGAGCCATACCTAGGGTTGGGTGATGGGGCTTTGTCCCAGGATGCTACCATTTATAGGATGCAAAAATTTAAACCAAGTGAACTGTTGCTAATCATTCTACCTTGCTCCTCCATTCTCCTCCCCTGGCCATAGTCTGAAGAGTCCTACAGTTTATCCCCCATGGAGCTAATCTTCTATCCTCACCTGTTGATTTAAAGGCACATTTATTGCTGCCTATCACTGGCTCTGATTAGTGTTTTAAGGACTAGGTATCAAAATTGTTAGTTATTGCTCTGCAAAGAGGAAATTTGCTACCAACGAGGGAGTTGGGAAGGTCTCATATAATCTCAGAGGAAGGAGTTTCAACAGCCATCTAATTTTATCGTGCCTCAAAAACCTCTACATCAACTCCAGGAGTGGGCTTCCAGTCTTTGCTTATAGACCTTCAGTGAGGCAGAACCTATGACCCCTTGAAGCAGGCCATTATGCTTTTAACTCTAATTTTTAGGAAGTTCTTCTTTCCATCCATCCTGAACGTGTCTCTTTCCAACACTCATCCACTGTTCATTGTTGTTCTTGGAGGAGGTAGTCCTGGACTTTAAAGGCTGACTAGGAGGTGAGAAGATAAAGAGGGAAAGGACATAGCAGACATAGGGAAAGGTATGAGAAAAGGCATGAAGAGTGGAAAGCACAGGGTGAGCCCGGGGGACAGAGAGTGATGCACTTTAACTGAAGTATAAGGTGCATAGAAGGGACTACAGTGAGATAAAAGTTGAAAGGCTGGCATTATCAGACTGTGGAAAGTCTTAAATGCCAGGCAAAGAAGTTTGAGTTCAATTTAGTAGACAATAGGAAGCTACTGAAGATTTTTGAGAAGAGGAGTAACATGACTGAATCTATGAATAGAGAAGGTCAGTTTAATAGCAATATGAAGGATGGATTTGAGAACATAAAGAATGAAGGCAAGAAGACTGGTCAGGAGGCTATTGTAATACTTCAGATATACAAGAATAAGGGTCTATATCCATTAATCACAACAAATTTTGTATTCTGAGCCATGCCTACCAATGGCAACCATAGAATATTTTTCTTTCCTAGAGGATTCTTAACAAGAAAATAGATACGATCTTTTCTTTTTTTGGGGGGGGGGAGATTGACTTTGCAGAGGAAGTCTGGGAGGCCAGAGATTAACTAACTGACCTTTTTCAGGAGTCATTTCTGTTTACTGACTATGACTACATGATTCCAAGACTCCATGATTCTCTCCTCCCAAAATGATGTGATGTAAACATTGCCTATTAAATGCTAATTTATAGATTATTCTGTGGACCTTCTCAGAATGATCCTCTTTACCACAAACCTGCCTTAAATTGGCCTCTTGAGGGCATTTGCTCTCCAATTGAAAGTGCTTCTATTTTTAATCTTCCCAATTCTCATCTAGTACAGATGGTTATAGAGCTTGGGGAGAGGAGTGTAACACTACCAATTACCATGGGGGGGGGAGGATATTCCTACATGCCTGGAATGTAAAACTGGGTAGCCTGGTGGAAAATGAACCCAACAGTTTTCATGGGAAAAGTGGTCTCTTTGCTCATCACACTTCCTGAGCCCCAGCAGGGATTCTGTGAACAGATGAGTTTGAGATTACAAGCCAAGCCTGCGCCTCACACAAGCCTCTGGTTCCAACCTCAGAAGGATCATACTCTTGAACCACAGTTGCTTTCTTGATTTCGTCATGGATAGCACACCCACTAGGAGGTCCCCATCTGAGCACCGACAAAAAATATTTCCAATGTGCATAAATTAGCACCAAATGTCTGTGAGGTGGAAAAATGCCAGAACTGCTCCACCCCTCAATGAAGGCATAGGGATGGTAACTGACCACTCCCCAGTACTTCATGCACCCCTGACAAAGTAATAAGGTAGTAATGAAATAGGGGAACCGGTGTTGAAAGAAACACCCATATTCTACTTCTCTCTGTCTATTTACTCATTGCTCTCTGCCTTCCACGATCCACACCCCTCTCCCCACACACATCATCCAAATGAAGTAGGTCCTGTACTTTTAGGGATTCCTCTGACTCTCAGTTAACTCACTCTTTAGGATATGATTAATTTGTCAATTAATAAGGGGTAGTTTAGTGGTGCAATGCACTGAGTGCCAGGCCTGGAATCAGGAAGATTCATCTTCCTGAGTTCAAATCTGGCCTCAGATACTTACTAGCTGTGTGACCCTGGGCAAGTCACTTAACCCTGTTTGCCTCAGTTTCCTCATCTGTAAAATAAGCTGGAGAAGGAAGTGGCAAACTACTCCAGTATCTCTGCCAAGAAAATCTCAAATGGGGTCACGAAGAGTCAGGCACAGCTGAAAAATGACTGAACAAACAACAATTTGTCAAATCTAAACTTGGTCCAGCATCCTAAATGTTTTAACACCTCTCCTCTCAATCCTGCTTCTGTTTTCAGCATTACTCCACTCTTCCTAAAATTTCAGGGCTGGAAAGCATATTGGGAAATGAGCTGCACTCAAAGGCATTCCAAGAACAAGAATGGTGGAGCTAAAGGGGAACTTAAGAGATTCTCTACTGAGGTCCTGGTTGGATAAGACAACCTCTGAGGACCATTTAACTCCAAAAGTCTGTGAAAATATTCCCTGTGAAAATGAAGTAGGTAGTTTCCTCTCCTTTTGAATGATGGTAAAACGCAACAGTAGAAGTGTTTATTGGGGCAGCTAGGTGGCGCAGTGGATAGACCACCAGCCCTGAAGTCAGGAGTACCTGAGTTCAAATTCGACCTCAGACCAAACACTTGACACTTACTAGCTGTATGTGACTCTGGGCAAGTCATTTAACCCCAATTGCCTTTTAAAAAAAAAAGGTTTATTTCTCAAGTATACTTCAGATTTGATGACCTTCCTTCTAAGTCAAATTCTCTATTGGTAAAACCCCATTATTTTGTAAATGAGAAAACTGAGGCTTGGTTCAACCTGATTCACTTGGAGGGTCTTGAGTCCATGCTCTATAAGAATCCACTGAAGGAACTGTGGATACTTACCCAGGAGAAGAGGCAGCTCAGTGAAGGATAACAGTTCTCTCCAAGTACTTGAAAGGCTGTCCTGCAGAAGAGGGGTTAGACATTGTTCTACTTGGCTCTGCTTGGCAGAACAAGGAGCAGCAGGTGAAAGTAGCAGTCAAATTTAGGTTCAATTTCAGGTATATCTTCCTAACAATTAGAGCTACCCCAGAGTGGAACAGATTGCTTTGATAGACGGTGGTTTCATCCTTATTGGAGGTCTTCAAGCAAAAGCTAGGTATGTGGTGATGGGACTTCTTTTTTGGATATGAGTTCAACTAAGTGGGCCCTGAAATAGATAGATAGATAGATAGATAGATAGATAGATAGATAGATAGATAGATAGATAGATAGATATGATAGAGATAATAAAGTGACAGACATATATAATCAGATAGATAGACATAAAAAGAAAGATGATAAATAGATAAATAGATCTAGAAAGAAAATGATAGGTAGGTAGACAGACAAACAAATAGATATATAAAGAAAGATGGTAGTTAGAAAGAAAAGGAAGGAAAGAAGGAAGGAAAGAAGGAAGGAAGGAAGGAAGGAAGGAAGGAAGGAAGGAAGGAAGGAAGGAAGGAAGGAAGGAAGGAAGGAAGGAAGGAAGGAAAGAAGGAAGAAAGAAGGAAGGAAGGAAGAAGGAAGGAAGGAAGAAGGAAAGAAGGAAGATAGATATAAAAAGAAAGATGATAGGTAGGTGGGTAGATATAAATAAATGATAGAGCATTTATTAAATGCTTACTACATGCAAGGCACTGTGCTGAGTATGGGTATAATAAAAAAAAAAGCAAACAAAATAGTCCTTACCCTCACAGAGCTTGCATTCTAATAGGAGAAGACAAAACACAAGGTGGAGCAGGAAGGGGAGAACAGGTACCTGCAAAAGAGAAAGGAAGCTCATAGGAAAATGGAGTGATTCCTTCCCCTTGGAACTGAAGGTTTCTTCCAACTCTCAAATTATGTGATTCATCAAACATTTACTAAGCACACATTATGGACAAAGCATGGTGCTAAGTGCTGAGAGACAGTGATCTGCCTGCAGACCTGGTTTCTTTATTCAAACAACTCTGATTTCTGAGCCATCTCTTGAAAACAAAAGTCTTTTCCTGGACAGTGCTACAGGGTAAAAATGTCTTAATCACCTAAACAGGCCAGAACCAGGCAATCATGAAGCAGCCATCCTCATCCTTCACCAGCAGTGACTAATGCTCCAACTCTTGCAATGTGAAGTGAATGAGGTCCCTCTTATCCCCTCAAGCCTCATAACCTTGGCTCAGTTTCCATTTGCAAAGGTAGCAGATGTTTGAGGAAGATGGTGCTTCTCTGCACAGTCACCATCAATGTTAAGTAAATAAGACTTGGCCCCTAACAGGCAATATTATTTCTGCACAGGATGCAGGTGGAAATGGAGAACATTTCTCCTCCTGAGACACTTTTACTTATACCCTCCACTGTCCCAGAGCTAGCAGACTCAGGCCTTTGGTTGAACCCAAGGCTGCC